TGCAGGAGCAAATTGCATCATGCTTTGCTGGTTTTTTTTACCTTCCTCTGGATCAACTGTGGGTGTAGGATTATATTTTATTTATTTATTTATTTGTTATGGTTCAATTGAATGGACTTTTGTCTTTTTTCAGCCAGACTAACTGTAGAACTATGATGGTCTGTAAAAAGGTGCCAATGATTGGAAAGAATGACACGAAGTTGATTATGATGACCAGAAAATTTTGTCACTATTTTAACTGTATTCTCTTGTATCCTTCAGGGTAGATCATATAGCAAGGAAATTCTGTCACATCTTTTAGCTCTGTTGAAGGCTTTTTTTCAACATAGTTTGTGAATAGCCTCTTAATAAGAGGCGTTCACATAGAGCAATTGGCTGTTGATGGAAATCATTTTCCTTTGTACAATTTCTGCGCAGTCTGAAGTGTGGCGCATAAGAAATACTGCAAATAAGAGGTTGTAAAGCATGTTGCCTGCTGTGGGTTACAGTAAAAATTAGTACTCAATTGGCCATTGGGACAAATTTGGATCAGTAGATCCAAGAAATGAATGTCAGACATTTGTAAGTGTATGCAAACTATAAATTATAATCATTACAATTCAATAGTCCGAAGAATTCCACTAATGAGTTAAGTAGACCTGTCCAAATGATGAACAAGTCTTCGATGAATCTGTGCCAACACAGGATATGATTAAGAAAAGGTACATATAGCTTATCTGCAAACACGCTCAAATAAAGATTTGCATACAAAGGTGCACAACTTGTGCCCATGGCTACTCCTTGGACTTGTAGGTACATTTGATCCATAAACACAAAAAAGTTTTTAGTCAAGATAAAACGTAAATATTTCAAAATAAAGTTGTTGCGGGACCAGGTAGTCTGGTCCTGTTCCCTTAGAAAGGATTCAATCATCCAGACACTCTGCTCATGGGGAATGCTAGAGACTTTTAAAGGTGTGGGCTTTTTTTTTTTTTTTTTTCTTTGTGACAATGCATAAGGTTTTTCCTGCCTTCTAGTTGAACTGACAATAGCCTTTTAGCAGTGTAGACCCTAGCTTCCGTTTATCAATTTCTTGAATCGCAATGGTGTAGCACATTCTTTAACCACCTCCCGTCCGGCCCATGTATATAAATGGCCGGACAGTGGCAGTGCAGGGTCGGGTGGCCGTTTATAAACGGCCTTCCCACACCCTGCTTGTGCGCGCTCCCTGGGAGCTCGCAACACCGCGATCCGGTGCCCACTGTGTCCTCCGCACACAGTGAAACACTGATCGTCGGACAGGACCTCTGTGTGAGGTCCCGATCATGTGATCACTGATTGGCCAATCAGTGATCACATGCAGAGTAGTAAGCAAGATGTCACTTCAGACATCGTTGCTTACTACGCGTGAAATCTGTTTATGATCACAGAGGTCACATGGTACAGGGCCATTCACAACAGCCTTGTACCATGTGACAAGCTGTGACCAATCACAGCTCACACAGTAGTTCTCAATGGCTGCAAGAATGCAGCTAGAGAGAAGGAAAAATTATTGCTTTTATAGCCTTTATATGTGTAAAAGCAATCGGTGTAAAAACAAAAACAAATCATCACCCCCCCATAAGTAGTACAGCGTCACCATGGTGACACTGTACTGCTAGGGTGACAGTATGTTAAAAAAAAAAAAAAATAATATAAAAAAAAAAAAAAAAAAAAAAAGAAGTTTAAAAGTTATAATTTTTGGTTATAAACTAATTTGGGTTTTTTGTTTTTTTTTTACTAAAAAGATAACAGAATACATTTTGGCCAAGATTTATGATGAAATACTATTTATTTGCAAAATGTTATAAGAAAAACACTTTTTTTTCAAAATTTTTGGACTTTTTCATTTACATAGCAAAAAAAATAAAAATCCCAGTGGTGAATAAATACCACCAAAATAAAGATTTATCTGTCTCAAAAAAATGCTAAAAAATTCATACGGGTACAGTGTTGCATGCCCGCGCAATTGTCATTCAGTGTGATAGCACTGAAAGCTGAAAATTGGCCTGGACAGGAAGGGGGTAAAAGTGTCCGGACTGAAAGTGGTTAACAAGTTGCGGATCTTGGGTGTGCTACACATTTTTAAAAAAAAAAAAAAAAGTGATACTAGACCAAAAAATGTTTTTTTACCTTAATGCATCGCTTGCATTAAGGTAAAACAACTTTTTAAGTTCCGGTGTGCACCTCTCCTCCCCTCGTTTCCTCTTCACACAGGGACCCGAGCAGCAGCAGGAGCCATTGGCTCTCAATCTGGTGTGGTGAAGAGGAAGTGGGGGGCGGGGCTAAGTACCGCTCCGTATGTCTATGGAGCGCGGCTTCATAGACACACAGGTTTGGGAGCTCGCTCGCAGCGCTTGTTGCCATAGCAAATGGCTTGCTATGGGGACACCTTAAGAGGAAGAGCCAGGATCACCAGCAGGGGACCTGAGAAGAGGAAAATTGGGGCCGCTCTGTGCGATAGCACTGCACAGAGCAGGTAAGCATAACATGTTTGTTGTTTTTAATTAAAAAAAAAATTAAAAAAATCTGCCTTTAGTAACACTCTAATTTAAGTACACAGGATCTGTGCGGTACATCCATTGCATTGGCTGGAATTTCCAACCCGCCAAAATTATAGCCAGGAGTTGCTGTGTAAATACAGCTGCTGTCCAAAAAGGTATCTTCTGACAGTTGTTTCTATAAGCTTTGTTCAGACTGGGGATAATAAGATACAAAGTGACATTGTTCATTTTGTGTTTGCTGTTTCATTCATCTGCAGATCAAAGGGATGAGCTTTGTTCTGTATATGATGTTGATGAGGACCTGTTCACACCAGATAGCTGCACTGAAAGCATAGTCACTATTGTGCACTGTGAAGTACCATGCTTAAGCTCTGATCCGAGATCTATTTACTGCAGTACTGTTGCAATGCAATGGAATACATTGGAATCTGCTGCACACCTGCTGTGTATATCTGTAACTTTGCCCCATCTCCACACAGGATCTCTGGTGCCCAGATCTCATCAGGTTCTTGGTCTCTTCTCTTACTAAGGACCTTTTCTCCCCCGATTTCTCAGAGCTGGTCACCTGGCCAAACTGAGCAGAGTCCTGGTTGCGCCAAACTTCTTCCATTTGAGAATTGAGGTCACTGTGCTCTTGGAAACCTTCAGTGCAGCAGACCTTTTTTGTAGCCTTCCCCAGATCTGTGCCTTGCAATAATCCTGTCTCCGAGCTCTGCAGGCAGTTCATTTGACCTCATGGCTTTTGCTCTGATACAGTATGCATTATCAGCTGTGAGGCCTTTTTTTTAGATGTGTGTGCCTTTCCAAATCCTGTCCAATCAATTGAATTTACCTCCGGTGGACTCCAGTCAAGGTGTAGAAACCTCTCAACAAGGATCAAGAGAAATGGGAGGCTCCTGAGCTAAATTTCAAGTGTTGTTCCAAAGGGTCTGAATACTTATGCCAATGTGAGATTTCAGTTTTTTGTTTTTCATAAATTCACAGACCTTTCTAAAAATCTGATTTCACTTTGTGATTATGGGGTACTGAGTGTAGATTAATGAGAAAAAAATGAATCAACTGTAATATCAGAATACTTTCTGAATGATATTGTGTGTGTAAATGTTTTTTATTATTATTATTTCATTATTTTTTGTGTGTGTGGTGTGAACTGACACCATCAAAACAAAGAAAATTTGACTTTGCCTATATTTTGGGGCTGCACTGGAACTGCTAAGCTGCACTTAGCCCTTTATTAACCTTAGTTTCCCCCAATCAGCCCTAATTGGCTCCTTCTTCCTTTCTCCCCTAAGCTATTGTTCTGCAATTTTAGCGTCATTTATAACAGGTCGAATCTAAGACTAAAATATATACAGTTTTTATATCTAAATTTCACACTTTTTTTTTTTCTGTTTAAACTGGACAGATTGGACAATAGCGTGTGTGTGTGTTCAGTAGCACAATTTTATTTATTTATTGTTAAGCCAACACTGATCAAAGAAGGGGCAGAAAGTAATTTTTATTGGATATGGTGGCTGCATTAATTTTCCCTTGGTAAACCTTTAAATAATGCATTTCATGTCCGAGAGTGCCTATACTCCTCCCCTGTATATATAGGGGGAACCGTGGTTGTCACCCATGACAATGGGTGTGAGGAGGATTAGTAGTTGACACAAATATAAGACCGCTGATAAGCTGCACTATGCGAGGTGGTATCAAAGTTTTGAGACTAGTTTTTTAACATGCCAACAGATGTCAGCATAAGGCTGCACACACAGTCACAGGGAGCACCGACCTTCATAAGTCCGTGTGCCAAAAGACATTGTCCTGTGTACATTGGGAGCTGTGCAACTGGTGCTATTCTGGCCACGTGCCTTACTGTGTCTGCTATTTCATCATGGACATAACGTTAGAACAAAGAGCAAACGTGAAATTCTGTGTGAAACTGGGCAAATCTACAACAGAGACGTTTGACATGATTTGGCAAGTTTACGGCGATAATGCAATGGAGTCGTTCGAGGTGTTTTGAGTGGCACGAGCGGAAGAACATCACTGAAAGATGACGAGAGATCAGGAAGACCTTTTAACAAGCTGAACCCCTGAAAATACCCTCTTCCCGCAGGTGATCCAGCTCAAGGGTCACTGTTTTGACAGCACTGTGAAGATCCAGCAAATTGCCCAGTTTCACTTATAATTTTCTCATTTGCTCTCTGTTCAAACTTGCTGTCCATGATGAAATAACAGACGTGGTAATGCAGAATAGCACCAGTTGTACATCTCCTGATGTACACAGGATAATGTCTTTTGGCACACTGACTTATGAAGGTCAGTGGTTCCTGTGACTGTGCGTGCAGCCTTGTGCTGCCATCTGTTGGCAAGTTACAAAACTGGTCTCAAAATTTTTTGATACTACCTCGTATTACATTTTTGTTCTTGGTTTAAATATCCTTTAGGAATTAACATTATATTTTGTGGCTTTTTCTTTTTTTCTGTTACAAGGATTGTTGTCTCTATCTGTGAAAGGGGCAGAAGTAGCATCAATGACCCTGAATGTTATTCAGAGTATTCCTAACTTGGATTGGCTTTCTGCCTGGATCAAAGCATATGCGTTTGTACACACTGGGGACAACACACGAGCAATTAATACAATCTGGTAAGAGAACTATGCACTCACTTTGTATTATATTGCTGTCGCGTTGGAAGAACATTGTAAAGTGCATTGTATGTTGTGAATTTATTAAACATTTTGAGTTTATTATGAAAAACTACAAGAAGCACCAGCTTTGTTAACACCAATGCATTTTGCGTTTTGTCTGTTTCCAAAAACGCTGCAGCTCAAAAAAGCATAGATGTGAATGTGTCCCATAGGAAACCATGTTAAATGGACTATAGTGCTTTTCTACAAAAAGCCCTAAAAACACACATTAGTGTAAACCAGGCCTTTATTCTATTTATTTTTTAACTCGCAAAATACTTGGGTATTGTAGTTTCTGTATGCACTACCTTAATGTGAGTATAAAGGTTTATATATTTATATATATTTAAGGTTGCAGTTAATGCATTTTCCTGGTGCATTTTGCATTTTTTTTTTTTTTTTTTTTTTACATGCATTTTGTGTTTTTGGGAGGTATCTCTTGTCATGCAGGAGAAACCAGCAAAAATGCAAGCACTGTGTTTTTTGATGCGTTTCTATTGAAGTCTATGGAACTAAAAACGCAAGTAGCTGCAGTCTCTGACCCTTTCCAAAAACCGCACCAGTTGAAAACATACAGATGTGACTGTATTGTGTTTCTGCAAACCTGAAAATGCACTAAAAAATGCAAAGTTGTGAACCAGGCCTTACTGAAAATATGTGTTTGATAAACAGTTGCTCTAATCTTGTGACCAGAAATTGCAGGATCTCTTCTTTTAGAAAATTGTATAATTTTTTTGGGACATTTAGAAATCTTCAGGCTTAAAAGGTATATAATACATGTGTGCAAGGGAATATTTGCCGCCTTTGCCTAGCGGCACTTTTTTAGGGGGGCGGCTCGGCGACGGAAGTGGCACTTAGTACAGGGGCGAGCTGCTGTGTCTTACCTGGGTCTGCGACTCCGTGTGTCCAGTCCCTCGTCGATCCGGTCCACGAGGCGCTGCTGGAGGAGGGGTAAAGAGGTTGTCAGGTCAGCGGATCTGGTGTCTTCATCCCTGGATCACGATGTGTGGGCGGGATGACATGCCGCCCCTGTCATCAGGTCACACCCCCCCAGGATCACTCAACAGCCTATGGCAGTTTGTCCCTCCCTCTACAAGCTCTGCCTCCTCGCTGGTGATTGGCCGCCGGAACTGCAGCTCAGGAAAGGCGCACAGGTGGCCAATCACCGTTGAGGAGGCGGAGCTTGGAGAGGAGGAGCCGAGCGGCAGCACAACGATCAAAGAAGATCGAGTGAGGGGAGCAGCCGGAGCGAGTGAAGAGGAGGAGAGCGGCCGGAGAAGGAAGACAGCTGACCGGTAAGTGTCTGTGCCATGCAGATGGTGCTGCTACAGCCAGGTATGCTGGCTGTGGATGGGAGAGGGAGGGAGCGAGCCCAGGCTGCTGCAGGGGTCAGCAAGGTAAGTATCATTGGTGTCAGTGGGAGGAATAGTGCCCATCATTGGTGTCACTGACACCAATGATAGGGCACTATCCCCCCCCACTGACACCAACGATGGGGCATTCCTCCCCCCACTGACACCAACGATGGGGCACTATTCCTCCCCCCATTCCTCCCACTGACACCAACGATGGGGATACTATTCCCCCCCCCACTGACACCAACGATGGGGCAATTCCTCCCCCCCACTGACACCAACGATGGGGGCACTATTCCTCCCCCCCACTGACACCAACGATGGGGCACTATTCCTCCCCCCCACTGACACCAACGATGGGGCACTATTCCTCCCCCCCCACTGACAACCAACGATGGGGCACTATTCCTCCCCCCCCACTGACACCAACGATGGGGCACTATTCCTCCCCCCCACTGACACCAACGATGGGGCACTATTCCTCCCCCCCACTGACACCAACGATGGGGCACTATTCCTCCCCCCCACTGACACCAACGATGGGGCACTATTCCTCCCCCCCACTGACACCAACGATGGGGCACTATTCCTCCCCCCCACTGACACCAACGATGGGGCACTATTCATCCCCCCCAACTGACACCCCCCGATGGGGCACTATTCCTCCCCCCCACTGACACCAACGATGGGCACTATTCCTCCCCCCCACTGACGATGGGGCACTATTCCTCCCCCCACTGACACCAACGATGGGGCACTATTCCTCCCCCCACTGACACCAAACGATGGGGCACTATTCCTCCCCCCCACTGACACCAACGATGGGGCACTATTCCTCCCCCCCACTGACACCAACGATGGGGCACTATTCCTCCCCCCCCACTGACACCAAACGATGGGGCACTATTCCTCCCCCCCCTGGACTGACACCAAACGATGGGGCACTATTCCTCCCCCCACTGACACCAACGATGGGGCACTATTCCTCCCCCCCACTGACACAACGATGGGGCACTATTCCTCCCCCCGCCACTGACACCTCCCCCCCACTGACGCGATGGGGCACTATTCCTCCCCCCCACTGACACCAACGATGGGGCACTATTCCTCCCCCCCACTGACACCAACGATGGGGCACTATTCCTCCCCCCCACTGACACCAACGATGGGGCACTATTCCTCCCCCCCACTGACACCAACGATGGGGCACTATTCCTCCCCCCCACTGACACCAAACGATGGGGCACTATTCCTCCCCCCCACTGACACCAACGATGGGGCACTATTCCTCCCCCCCCACTGACACCAACGATGGGGCACTATTCCTCCCCCCCACTGACACAACGATGGGGCACTATTCCTCCCCCCCACTGACACCAACGATGGGGCACTATTCCTCCCCCCCCACTGACACCAACGATGGGGCACTATTCCTCCCCCCACTGACGCCAACGATGGGGCACTATTCCTCCCCCCCACGACGGGGGCACTATTCCTCCCCCCCACTGACACCAACGAACGGGGGGCACTATTCCTCCCCCCCACTGACACCAACGATGGGGCACTATTCTCCCCCCCATGACGCCAACGATGGGGCACTATTCCTCCCCCCCACTGACACCAACGACGGACACTATTCCTCCCACTGACACCAACGACGGGACACTCTTCCTCCCCCCCACTGATACCAACGACGGGACACTCTTCCTCCCACTGATACCAACGACGGGACACTCTTCCTCCCACTGATACCAACGACGGGACAATTCACTCTTCCTCCCACTGATACCAAACGACGGGACACTCTTCCTCCCACTGATACCAACGACGGGACACTCTTCCTCCCACTGATACCAACGACGGGACACTCTTCCTCCCACTGATACCAACGACGGGACACTCTTCCTCCCACTGATACCAACGACGGGACACTCTTCCTCCCACTGATACCAACGACGGGACACTCTTCCTCCCACTGATACCAACGACGGGACACTCTTCCTCCCACTGATACCAACGACGGGACACTCTTCCTCCCACTGATACCAACGACGGGACACTCTTCCTCCCACTGATACCAACGACGGGACACTCTTCCTCCCACTGATACCAACGACGGGACACTCTTCCTCCCACTGATACCAACGACGGGACACTCTTCCTCCCACTGATACCAACGACGGGACACTCTTCCTCCCACTGATACCAACGACGGGACACTCTTCCTCCCACTGATACCAACGACGGGACACTCTTCCTCCCACTGATACCAACGACGGGACACTCTTCCTCCCACTGATACCAACGACGGGACACTCTTCCTCCTCCCAACGATGGGACTGATACCAACGACGGGACACTCTTCCTCCCACTGATACCAACGACGGGACACTCTTCCTCCCACTGATACCAACGACGGGACACTCTTCCTCCCACTGATACCAATGACGGGGCACTATTCCTCCCACTGATACCAATGACGGGGCACTAATTCTCTCACTGACACCAATGATGGGACACTATTCCTCCCTCACTGACACTAATGATTACCATCGTTGGTGTCAGTGGGAGGAATAGTTTGCCATCACTGGTGTCAGTGGGGAGGAATAGTGCCACGTCATTGGTGTCAGTGGAAGTAATAGTACCCCATCGTTGGTGTCAGTGGGAGGAGTAATGTCCCGTCATTGGTGTCAGTGGGAGGAATAGTGCCACGTCATTGGTATTGGTGTGGGAGGAATAGTGCCCCATTGTTGGTGTCAGTGGGAGGAATAGTGCCCCATCATTGGTGTTAATGAGAGGAATAGTGCCTCACCATTGTTGTCATTGGATGGAGCTCTAATAGGAGGAGGAGGTGGAGCCTAAATAGAAAAGCCTGGAGTTTACAGATGAAGGGGTGGATCTTAAACAGGAAGTGGTGGGACAAATTTAGGTGGGGGGGGGTGCCCGATTTTAGTCTTGCCTAGGGCAGCACAAAACCAAAATACACCATTGCATGTGTGCACAAAAACAATGGCTGAGTTAATTTTTACAACTGTTTTTCTAGTTCTTTAGAAAAGAAATCTTTACTCAGAGACAATGTGGATCTACTGGGAAGTTTGGCAGATCTCTACTTTCGAGTCGGTGATAATAAAAATGCCATTCTAAAATTTGAGCAGGCTCAGATGCTGGATCCTTACCTAATTAAAGGTAAATCTAATATTTATAAACTGAGAAATATACTGTACATTTCTTTCTCTTTTTGTGCATTGGTGAGGGTTACAAATGATGTAAATTTCTTTTTGAGCCATAGGAATCAAGGACTTTCTAGAACTGACAGTACTAGATTCAGGAACTGTGGTAGGACTAAGGCAGACCATAGATGATGTGATTTTCTTTTCTCCAACCAAGGGAATCCCTTGGAGCTATTTATTGTCCCTGCTGGGAGAACACAGTGATTATTGGTTGCTGCCATAGCCGATTTGATCGATAGATCAACTTGGGTACAATCAGCCTGCCCATACATTGATTGAATTTTGGCCAGTCCATGCTGATCTGGCTGAAATTTGAACCATGTATGGCTGGCTTAAGGCCCCTTTCACACGGGGCGTTTAGTCTAGATCTGTCTGTTCATTTTTTTTTAGATGGATCCTGTCAGGGCTCCAGGTATGACCAGAGGTGTGTGGACTGACACAGGGAAACGCAGGCTTCAGATATAGTATAAACAATATAATTTATTTAAGACTAAACAATACATAAACGCAGTGCAAGACTAAACATAATTGCAGTGCAAACAAACCAAACCAAAACCCCAAACAGATAACAAAAGAACAATACTAAGCGTAGTCGGGGAGGCCGGGTCGGTAGCAAACGGGTAGGCAAGGTACAAAGGAGCAGGCAGAGCATAGTCAGACGGGCCGGGTCAGGAACAATCAGGCAGACAAGGTACCAAAGGAGCAGACTGGAGAGTGGTCAGGAAAAGCAGAGGTCAGGACAGGCGGAGTTCAATCAGAGTCAGGGATCAAGCAGGATCAGACAGGAAGCAGACAGGATGCAGGTACAGGGGCTCTTGGGAAACATACACCAAGGCCCTGATTGCAAGTCTGGCCATTCCTTATATGCACCTCCTGCAATCAGCCTCAGGTGTTTTGGCTGACTGCAGGAGTGAGCCTCTGGTTGCTGAGAGCACCCGCTGGCCAGTCCTGGTACTGCAACCCACAAGGCAGGTGAGTCCCACCACTATTGGCGAGTCCATTCCTGACAGATCCAGACTGAACCACAATGTATGCCTTTTGGGTGGGCGGATGTAAACCATGTCCCTTCAGGTCGGTCTTTTTTTTTTTTTTTTTTGTTTTTTTTAAATGAAACAGCCAGTATCCAAATCTGTCGAAATGTATGTCCGGTTTAAGGCAAAAAAAAAACATTTTTTGTTTATACTTTTGTCACTCTGAATGGTTTCTGCAACAGCTAAGAAAAAATGGATGCAAAAACAGATGTAAACTGAATGGAACAGAACTGAAAACAGAAGGGTAAACTGAATCCATTTTTTCTCTGAAAAAACGTGACTGAATGTAAGAGGGAACTTTAGAGGAGAGTAAGAGAGAGGGAAGAAATGGGGGAAGAGAGGACTGAGTGGCTTCTGATCCACACCAGAGGCTATGTACTTTGCAAATGTGATCCCAGGTACCTGCAATATGTCAGGCAGGGGTTCTGCCACAGTCAGGGGTTGTGGTTTAGCGTGTGCTTTTCAGACTCATGATTGAACGTTTGTCCAACAATGCTTGATAGGCGTAAAGGACAATAAAAAGTAGAAAGGAGAACTCTCAGTAGTGGTGCAATTCCATCATATTAGATTCACTATTGTTTTTTTTTTATGTGTAGATAATTATAAAAAAGATTTAGCATAGGTACGGTACACCCTGCTTCTGATTTTACTATTCTTGTATTCTGCTTGACGTTAATTTTTTGAAAAATGTTCCCATTACTCTTGCATTAATCTTCTAACCTTTAAGAAATCTGAAGGGATTTTGTTCTCTGTATACAATTTCTGGCTGCAGTAACAGCAATAAAAAATTAATTTTTAACATGGAGATGTTGTCCCAATGAAACTAGTAACCTTGCATCTACATTATGGCTGTTTATGATCCGTAGACGGTCAGATGTGCTTGTATGCGCCATCCATCCTTTAGGACAACAATTGAACAAGTTGTGCAGAATGTACCCAGTTCCAAGTTTATTGGGACTTTTAAATAGTTTGGATTAAGTTGGTCCAAGCGAACGATTTGCTTCACTAGCATTTGTGCCCGCTGTTAGCACTGTATATACTGTGTGTATTGTCAGATACATCCAATATACAGCCCTATCCAAAAGTTTTGAGAATTTACTCAAATATAAATTTTCACAAAGTCTGCTGCCTCAGTTTTTATGATGGCAATTTGCCTATGCTCTAGAATGTTATGAAGGGTAATTAGATGAATTTCAATTACATGGAATGAAGGGTGATCAGATGAATTTCAATTACATGCAAAGTACCTCTTTGCCATGAAAATTAACTTAATCCCAAAAAAAAAATGTCCACTGCATTTCGGCCCTGCCACAAAATGACCAGCTGACATGTCAATGATTCTCTCAAGGACAAGGCTGGAGATCACTTGTCATGCCGATTGAGTTAGAATAACAGACTGGAAGCTTTAAAAGGAGGGTGGTACTTATAATCATTTTTCTTCCTCTGTTAACCATGGTTACTTGCAAGGGAAAATGTGCAGTCATCATTGCAGTCATCAAAAACTTCAAGGAGAGAGGTTCAGTTGTTGTGAATAAGGTTTCAGGGTGCCCAAACAAGTCTAGCAAGCGTCAGGACCGTCTCCTAAAGTTGATTCAGCTGCTGGATCGGGGGCACCACTAGTGCAGAGATTCCTTAGGAATGGCAGCAGGCAGGTGTGAGTTAATCTGCATGTACAGTGAGGAGAAGACTTTTGGAAGATGGCCAGGTGTCATGAAGAGCAGCAAAGAAGCCACTTCTCTCCAGGAAAAACATTGGGGACAGACTGATATTCTGCAAAAGGCACAGGGAATTGACTGCTGTGGACTGGGGTAAAGTCATTTTCTCAGATGAATCCCCTTTCCGAATTGTTTGAGGCATCTGGAAAAAACCTTATCCAAAGAAGAAAAGGTGAGCGCTACCTTCAGTCCTGTGTCATGCCAACAGTAAAGCATCCTGAGACCATTCTTGTGTGGGGTTGCTTCTCAGCCAACGGAGTGGGCTCACTCACAATTTTGCCTAAGAACACAGCCATGAATAAAGAATGGTACAAAAACATCCTCTGAGAGTAACTTCTCCCAACCATCCAAGAACAGTTTGGTGGTGAACAATGCCTTTTCCAGCATCATGGAGCACCTTGCTATAAGGCAAAAGTGAGATATAGGTGGCTTGGGGAACAAAACATTGAAATTTTGGGTCCATGTCTAGGAAACTCCCCAGACCTTAATTCCATTGAGAACTTGTGGTCAATTCTCAAGAGGCGGGTGAACAAAAAACCCCCACAAATTGTGACAAACTCCAAGCATTGATTATGCCAGAATGGTCTGCCATCAGTCAGGATGTTAGCTGTAAGTTGATTGCCAGCATGCCAGGGCGAATTGCAGAGGTGTTGAAAGAAGGGTCAACACTGCAAATATTGACTTTCTGCATGAACTTAGAGGACCCTGCATTCATTATATCTGGTCTCCCACAGTACACAGAACATGGAAATGCAATTATTTTAGTAAATATAAACTGCTACATACCTTTTCTCATCAGCAGTTACAGCAGTCGGTTTATGTTCAACAATCAAGTGTGTAAAATATGCAAAATGTTGAACAAAGTGCTCATGTGCAATAAATATTCAAATCATACAATTTATATCACAAATAAAATAAATCCACTGTGATGATTATATTGTGTGATCCAACATATATATAAAAGAATGTCCACCATAAATAACAACAAAATTTGTGTATCTTCTTATCATGCACCACTAAAAAAAGATTGTATGTCTTTTCCACCACCGGATATTTAGATGAACTCACCAGAGCTCCAGGCTGGTAATATTATAAACCAGGTGTGAGCGCTGATTCCCTTTTGTATCTCATATGGTCACATGAATCCAGAAAGAAAGAGGAAAAGCTCCCATCGCATAAAACCATAAAAAATGTTTATTAAAAAAATACCACTGACAGTTAAAGAAAATCCCAAATTTTGGGTTGTCACCAGAACAGGAATCAAGAAGAAATCTTCCAATAGAGACACTAGTTCTGGTGACAACCAGAGATTCCCTCACTTTGGGGGAGGGGGGATTTCCTTACACTTCCTGTTTTGGCTATAGAACAGGAGGTAAATGGACGTTCCCCAGTGGAACACAGATGGCAAAAAAAAAAAAACTTGACAGTGGTTGTAACCATCCCTTTACTCTATCCAAATTCAAAATGAAAAACATGTTTTGCCTTGAGTTCTACTTTAACCTTCTTGCCGACCAGCTACAGTAGACATACTGCGGTAGGGCGGCACCGCTGCACAAAATCCCTTGTGTATATATATGTGATTTTGCATTTCGGGTAGGGGGCGCGCGACCGCACTAACCGCGCTGCCGATCGCGGGTGTTAATCACCCGGCGATTACTGGCAAACACTGACAGGGAGCACGGCTGCATTGTTTTCAATGCAGCTCTCCTCCCTGTCAGTTTGAGCACACTGATCCGGATGGATGAGCTCAACCTTCCGGATCAGTGTGCTTACAGTGAAGCACAAACCCCCCCACCCCCTAATGAAACACTCCCCTCACACAGTTAACCCTTTGATTGCCTTCTAATGTTAATCCCTTCCTCCCCAGTACCATTAGTACAGTGTCAGTGGGTTTTTTTTTGCACTGATTACTGTATTGGTGTCACTGGGGATGTCAGTGACCCCAAGTCATTTCCCCCCCAGTGTCACCATAAGCCGCCATAAGTCGCTGATCACCGCCATTATTCGTATATAAAAGAAATAAACAATTCCAGTATCTATACCGCCATTTGTAGACGCTATAACGTTTACGTAAACCAATTAATTTACACGTATTGGGATTTTATTTTTAGCAAAGACGTTGCAGAATACATTTTGGCCTAAATTTATGACATTTTGATTTTTAAATTTTGTTTTACTGGACATGTTTTACAGCAAAAAGTCCAAAATAT